AGAAAAAACGTGAATCTTAATCTGCCTATTGGCATATCGATTACGAAAGCTGGATTCCCATTCATCTATTCATCCATTCATTCATTTATTCATCCATCCATCCCATCCCATCCCATCCCATCCCATCCATCCATCCATCCATCCATCCATCCATCCATCCAATCCCTTAACTAAGCTTATGAATTCTAGTTATATACTTTATAAATCCTGTTAATATCAGTAACCAGCCTAGGTATAGAATACCAATAAGAATTTTCCCAGCGTGGCCACGGCAACATCCAAACCCTAAGTGTTTTGCCATTGTCGCCTAATTTTGATTCAAGGTCATTTATTATTTCAATCATCAGATGCGTGCAGGTAGACTGCCCGTTTTTCCTCATCCTTGCACGCTATACAAATTATGGCTATTTCCGTAAAAGTCGTCGAAGCCAAAGGCGATACGAGATAAGCGATAAGAAATAGGTCATTCCATCATGTCCAAGATCCAAGAATAGCCCGAATTGAGTTTTTGCTTTTTATTTTTGTCAATGACAAAGAGGTTAGTTTTGTGGTGTTTAATGTCGTTCGTAGTCGACAAACCATTCTTAAAGACTTCGATTTCTTTTCTACTTGGAGTGACCTATTGGATCAAATTCAGTTTAGCAAGTTAGGTTTTGCGAAAGGAGAACAACGAGAGAGAACCCCAAAAAAAAGAAAGAAAAAAAAGAAAAAAAACTCGAATCAAGGGAGAGAGATACCCAATTATACTGAATTCTACTCACATCTGATGCCGATTCCAGAAATCCAACCGCTAGAGTGGGAGGCGAGTGAACTATACTTCTATTCCTCAATATATTTGACTTTGTAATATTTAGTTGTTTTATTCCAGGCAAAAAATCTTCTCACTTTGTCGTTTCATAAAACTTTCTAGTGCTACTTTCAAATGCAATAATCCATAAGAAATTCAAGGTTTCTTCTATTGATGTGAGGTGATGTTGATCGTACGAATGTCTGAATCTTATGCTCAGTACAACATGATTCGCGCGACGTCACATAGTCATATCTTCCACTATAATGATCAATTATAATGCTAATACAGTTAAGATGACTTCCTATACCCTGCAGCACCAACGGTTGTGTATGAGAAGACACATGAATATGAATACAACCCAAACAAAGAATCTCATTCTTAAGAGAATGACAAGTGGTCTGAAATGGGAAAACACTTAACGCCCAAGGCAAAGAGGATTTTAGCAGATCTTGTTAAAAGGGGTAATATTGACACACCTAACTAAATTCAGTGAATTAGTTGAAAAACCTTTTCCAGATTACGCCAGATCTTATATTGATGTTAAATACTGAAATGTTTTATGGCTTCTTGTCGCGCTCTTCATTTCCGAACCTTACAAGACAAAAGGATAGCATCCAAATAACGGTTCTCTGAATTAAAACGTTCACAGGTGCTGCAAACAGCGCGACAAAGGAAAGAAGAAACCGCCAAAACTGATATTAATTTCTTCAAGAGTTTATAATAAATAAAAAATAATTAAACTGGGAAAGTGTTCATAATCACGAGACGTTTTTAATGGATTGTAGGGGGGGAAACCTTTAGTTTTGTCGAGCACAAACAACCGCTGGGCTGATCTAAGTCAGAGCATGGCTAACTCGCAGATTGAACCCTGAAACAACCTCTGGGCTGATCTAAGTCAGGGCACGTCTAACTCACAGATTGAACCCTGAAACAACCTCTGGGCTGATCTAAGTCAGGGCATGGCTAACTCACAGATAGAACCCTGAAACAACCTCTCTGGGCTGATCTAAGTCAGGGCATGGCTAACTCACAGATCAAACTCTGAAACAACCTCTGGGCTGATCTAAGTCAGGGATCAATAAACCCTAATTAATTTTGGCCTAGTTTTGTGTAATGACTTTGTTTTTCAGTTTGGCTCAAACTGTGATCTATTCCATACGAGGCGGCCAACTTCAAGAGAGTCACGCCTTTCAAAGATCATAGCGAATAATACTAACTATAACCACTCGATCGTTCGAATTAATGTAGCCCGCTTTATCTTATTTTAACAGTTTATCCTCTTTTTTATAGCAAAAATATGCCATCGTGGCTTGCAGGTCTTGATGATTGGTAGCCGATGATTCGTCACTTCTTTATATTGCTTTATAGTTGATCATGAGAATGAATAAGTTGGTTTTCTATTTACGAAAAACGAAGCCAAAACCAGCTGTTTTCAGTGGAACTATGACTATATCTTTTATTCTTACTTCAAATCATCATAATCATAATAATAATCCAACCACGCAGTAATCAATAATAAATAGGCTAGAATGTTCATTATATTCCTTCGTACAAACAAATTCTCAATTGTATAATTACAAACGCGCCTCTGAAAAATTATTTTAAAAACTACTTTTTTTTATGACGTGAAAAGAAAGTAATTTAGATATTGGACTGAATTTTTCTTTGCCACAAGCAAATTAACGAAAGTGATTTTGCGCTATTTTTAACTCGGACACTTACTCACCTCTATTTCTCTATTTCTCTATTCATGTCAGTGTCAAAAACGTCTTTCTCAACTGAGAATTTGAAGTTTTTGGCAACTTATATAAGTCTTTATGCAATTTATAGATAACGTCATTTATCTACATCCTGCGATCTCGATTTCAAGCTTATTGACAATTTTATTGATAAGGAATTTGTAGATATTGAAATTAAAGAAAAAGTCTATAAATATTCAAATGTTTGCTAAGTTTCGCTTAATTTGTTGTATTTAGAGATGTATAAGTGAAAGGAAGCTTTGCAAAACTTCATGGTTTGGATTAGTTTTGAGGCGGTGAAAAGCTATTTGTTATGAAGTATTTAAACCCGATTTTCTAATATTTGATGAGACATATATCTGAGATAAATCATGGATGTGTACGGAGTTGATTCTAATTAACATACTCTGTACAATATATTTTCTTTTTCTTTTGCCGCAGTATCCTTAATATCCAGAGCCTTCAGTAACTGAATAGTATATATGCAGGTTATTTTGATGTATTTTTCCTCCTGAAGCATTCGATCTTTCAAATATCCCGTTTGTTTTACAGCCAAGAAAACGCTTAGGTTTTTTGGCCCTTAAAACCTTTTTTAAAAATGCATATCAGTTCGACTCTGTTCTCCTCTTTTTGGCTGCTCTTTGCCCTAATGCTCCCTTCCCTTCCCTTCCCGTCTCTTCTTTTCTCTTCTCTATTTTCTTTTCTTCTCTCTCTCTTTTTTTAATTCACTGACTCTTTCTTAAGGTTAATAATTACATTTTTTTTTCTTATCGCTAAACTCATTTCATCATTTACAAGTTAGTGAAATCATCAATGATCTGAGAAACGAGTTTCCAATGAGTTCCTTAATTGCAATTTATATCTACTTTGACCTGCTCGAAAAAGTGGTCAGAAACTACCCCCAGCCACGCGCTATCAGACTGAAATAATTCTACTTAAAAAATTGCAATTTGGCTGATAAACATTCTTCACGAAGACACGAAATTCCGTTTATTAACTGAAAGCCAGCTATAAAATGTCAAATTCTTGTCAAAGAAATGAGTTTATGAATGATTGCCTTGGGCAAATAATTTGTAATTATCGATGAACGAGCTACTCTTCTCTAGAGTAAATAAAATGTACCTTCCTTACATCTGACCGAGTGGAGTAAATAAGAGCCTAGGTCGAGACCTACTATGAAGTCATTTCAGGCTTGCGAGTTTCTCGAACTCTTGTAGCCTTCAATTTTCTCGTGTTATTTGTTCTCTTAAGTATGATTTCTTTGTTAAATAGAGATGCTTGTGAAGAGACATTGATATGAATGAGACTCRGGGATGCTATTCTCAAGGGAATGAGACGTGCATGGTCTGAAATGAGAAAAACATTAATGGAATCGGTTTTTGTGTTTTTTTCTTTTTCTTTTTCTTTTTTTCTATCTTTAGTGCTGCAGTTCTGCAAATGATACTGTTCTTCGTGTAATATGTTCATCTTTAACAAAGATTTCGTTCGTAAAGCTTTTATTTCGATGCCCAGCAATAAGATCCGGCGTGTCGTCTATAATAACCAACCCATTCATCTCTTGCTTTACGTCATTACCATTCTCGTTTGCCATCGGCTGATTTTTTACTTCCAAGTCATAAACTTTAAATTCCTTCAGTTTTACCCCATTAGCAAAGCTGACTGGTGGCTCAGAACGACTGGAGTAGTAAGCAGAAGTCCTGTGACGTATGTTTTGGTTGGAATGATTTGTAATGGTCTGTATACAAGGGCTGATTGACGCKGTCAGGTACCTTCTAACACCAATATCAAAGAAAACAAAAATACAAGGACTTATGGCACTGTTGGAGTATGCCAAGAATTTAGCCGCAAAATATAATTCAGCCGGTGCCCCGCAGGCTTCATAGGGTGGATGGAAATTGTCAAGGAAGAAGAACAGATGGTATGGAAGCCAACAGAGCGCAAAAGCCAGTACGATCGCTATTAACATCTTAAGAACACGCTTCTTGAGTTTGGCTCTTTGTTGGCGACGCTCAGGTGTTCTGTGATCACCCGGGATGGTTTGATTCCAGAGGCGATACACCACGGCGGCGTAAAGAAAGCAAATCAAGGCCAAAGGAATAGCGTATAAAAGGACGAAGGTTGCAGTAGTGTATCCTCTTGATGCGGCAATATCGCTGGAGCCAAATGCAGGGCTCCATTGCTCGGAACAGTAGAAGAGACCATGGTCTTCAACAATCTTGTTAGCATAAAGTAATGGTGACGCAACGATTCCAGCGACGACCCAACAGACCAGTATGACGTACTTTACGTTCTTTAGAGTAAGGTACTTTTTGAACGGGTAAAAAATTGCGCAATATCTCTCAATAGCGATTACAATCAAGCACATTATTGAACAGAACGTCGAGATATCTTGGCTAAAAACTAGAAGCTTACACACCAGATTTGCAAGTGGTTGTTCAAAGGGTAGAGCTTCGGAAGATGTGACAACTTCACTAATCATATTAGGCATGTTCACAGAACCAATCAAAAGATCAGAACATGCCATGTTTGCAACTAGGCAGTTAGTGACACTTCTGATTCGTTGTTTCTTCCTGACGATGAAGATAACGAAACAGTTGGTAACAACTGCAACCAGTAACACCAAGATACAGGCGATTGTTTTGATGACTTGTTCTGCTGAAGATCCCTGTTTTGCTGCCGGACACATGTCGTCGTCCATTGGGAGGAGCGTATCGTTGTCTGTTGTGTTGGATGTCATCTTGGTTTCTTAAAAAGTACACCTTTAAAAAAGACATTTTGAGTAAGAAAATTAAAACTTTGTAAGACGATCAAGTTTCGATGAAGATTTCGTATTAAGGCCCCGTGCACACATATCCGGAAATTTTTGTACCCGCATATTCTTTTTGCGGATACGTGTTGCGTCCACATGTATCCGTATCCGCAAATTTTCGAAAACGGTCCCCAGAGTGGAAATTTTTGAATACGCTCCGAATACGGATACGTATGGACGGTCGTATCCGCAAATTTTCCAATACGATGACGTAAACACGATTTTGCGCATGCTCAAGAAAAACTATCCGTCAAAGGGACTAGGCACTAGTGTGCATTAGGGCGGATCAAGAAATTTCCGGATCCGTGTGGACAGCGAAAACGATTCGAAAATGATTCCAATATGCTGCGTGTGGACGCGAACATTTTCGTATCCGCAAATTTTTTTTTGCGGATACAAAAATTTCCGGATACGTGTGCACGGGGCCTAAGACTAAAATAGAATTCAACTATTACAAAAACGGTTGGTGACGGTTTTTTTTCTTGTTGCAGCATGTTTTTCCAGCATATTCTCTTTTGTTTTGACAATTTAAGCTCTGTGAGCAACATTTAAATGCAATATGCAACAAAACCTGTTTTGAAATGGCTGCATTTCATATAGTGAATTTGTATGAGAAACGAACCGCCAGAGTGACAAGATCTTGATAACCCAATACCATTATGGCATACAAATCATAACATATTCAAATCTATATTTAGTGCAATTTCTCTTCTGTTGCATATTGTAAGCTGAAACTTTGCCTTCTTACTAATATTGAGGTGCTTTTTATTTCTGTCGTTCATTTTGGAACAACTGGTTAATTTAGGGAAGAATCCGCCACTGGCTATTAACTGTACCTTCGTAAAAACAAGGACATTTTAAGTGCAGTTCTTCTATATTTACGCCATTAACTCCGACATGCACAGATTTTCATGTAAAAATATAATTGTGGTTTATTTTGATTTTTGGGAATGGAGGAAAACGGAGAGCCTAGAGAAAACCCTTGGTGCACATGAGAGAAACAACAAGCATACGGCTGTAAGTCGTTAATTAGGCAGATTAAGATTCCCGTTTTTCCTTCCCGCAAACGGCAAACGTGACCACGTCTTCATCGTTTCCCTACATTTCACTTTACCTTTTGCAAACCTTCTCGACAAAGACAAGTATTCTTTTGTTTATCCACTACTTGGAGATTTTTGCGATTCCTTTTCACTAATTTTAGAGAATTTTATAATGGTCAATTGACGTTTCACGTTTGCCGTAAACGAGAATCTTAAACTCTTTAATAATATATGTTATTTTTAACATCAACATGATAAGAAATCTTTTCACGTATTTTTTATCACACATTTAACGTTAATACCCGATCTTTATTGCCTTATTACATTGAAATAAGAAAGTAGCCCTTTTGACAAACAAGTTTTAAAAACTGAAAACATAGTACTGAGCAAATTCGTATTTTAGCTGTTATTTTTATTATATTTTTAWTGGTAATTGTCGGTAGCTTGATACGTTAGGACTCCTGGTCTTTAGCAGCAGTTAGGTGGACTCGCGAAGCGCCGACAATGCCAAAAATCACAAGTCGAAAAAACCCA